CGATGCCTACAGTCCACGCTGATAGCTGTTCCGGGGCAGTTTTTTATCTCCATCTCCTTTTATTTCCATAAACATATATAGAGCAGTAGAGCTTAGGCTTGCCGCGATAGACGGTGTTGACGGTGATATGTTAAGCCGCAACACCGGTTACGTCATTTCCACGCATTTTTTAGATGCTGGGAGCAGGGGAATCTATATAGAGTGCCTTATTGTAGCAATATATTGTAGTAAATTGTAGTATTGTATTGTATTGTAGTAAAATATAGATATTTGGCGCCAGATATCGATTCTCGTATCGCATGAAGGAGGACAACGATATATCGCCATATCAATATATTGTCCCACCCCTACCTGGGGGTAAGCAGATAGACATCAAATTTTCATTTATCCCTTTAAACCACAAGAAAGAACAATCTGGAATGTCTTAGTTTTATCAGCACAGGGGTGATCAAGGTTGATTTATGTCATGCCACAAAGTGCAATTTCAAGAAGGCCAAAAACAAAAGGTACTGACAGTGCAAACAAGCCCATTTTCATAAATTTACTGTAAATAAGCCAAGAACCACTTGCTTGTTTTTGTAAGGCCCATTTTGGTGTCTTTTGAAAGGGATGAGGCATTCAACATGATGAATGAAGCACAGATTAAAATGACCGTTCCTCTCGTGACTTCAACAGGAGATTAGCCTATGCGCTGTATTTGTATGACAACATGGATTTGTGTTTTAATCTGAAGTGTGACAGAAGTCACCTCCTATGCTAATCTAAATAGTCCTCTTGTCGGTCTCACATCTTGAACGTAAACTGTGATCGCTACAATGGTCCCGCTGTCAGAAAAGGCCAGCAAACAGAACAGCCGTAGTTTACATAAGCAGTAAATCTGTGCAGGGTGGGCCTCTGTAATGCCAGCTTTTCCCAGATTTTTTTCTCCATGTGCTGTCCATTGGAATGGCTGCATTTGTGCAGCGACAAAAACTCCTGTGTTCGAGCACTTGGCACATGTGGCCCCAACGACACACGCTCAATCCCCACACACAAGCTTGTGCATGCTCTGGAAAGGGTGACGAAGCCGCGGTCTGGGTGGAGTGCGGCAGGGTTATGGGGTGATGTTGGGTAGCTCTTCCTCAGTGGGTGGGGTCACTGTCGACTATGCATTCCCGGGCCTGTACAGAGCTCATGCCAGCCAGAGTAGTGCACCGCACCAGGAAACACTCTGCAGGGGTTTGGCCATCTGTGCCTGGCCTAGCGCATCATCTTGGCCAACTGCCATACACCTCTCACAACCATCGCCTGTTATGCCCTGATCTACAGCTACAATGCCAGCCATACATCAACAGCTCGAGTGGGCGGTAATGCCATGTTAGATTTGTGCTCATAATATGCCTAATGAAACTACAAGTGAAGCATCACAGCTCCAAATTATGCAAAAATTCTGAGAGCTTTACAATCAGCAAATCCAACTGCCACCTAAAGTGTAAAGTCTTAGATCAGACACTTATCAGTCATTAGACATTTGAGCAGCTTATCTAACTTCAACTAAAGTCTGGAATACACTATATGATTTTAAAGATTTTAAAACACTAGGCATCATAGACTTGCCATTCTTTGTAAATGGTTACAAAGTAGGGTTGTGACGGTGAGGAAATTTTCCCACTGGTTAATCGACGTGTGACAACACCGGTAATACCGGTATCAACGTGGGGGCAGGGCGTTCCCTCTTTTCCTCGCTTTCCTTCGCTTTTAGATAGCTTGTAAAAGCGGTGTGCCCATTTTACTTTCACTTTCAAATAGCGGCAATTCGGTGGATAAATGAAATCTGATCTGTGTGATGTGACTGTCGTTCGGCACGCTGCATTGAGCAGCCGCGTTCAGTTTTTAATTGTAGTGTCTGTTCTTTTACTGAACTAAACGATTTTTATTACTATAAAAAAATCAAAATGACGGTGGGGGTCAGTGACGCGGTGGGCAAGTGACGTGTTGCGGCTTAACACCGGTATCACCGTCAACACCGTCTATCGCGGCAAGCCTATTACAAAGTAACCAGTTTTGTTGTCTGAAGTAAAAAGTATGTGCACATCATTCACTCAACAATTTTTTTGTGAAATCTGTCAACTCTGACAGCCCAAAATCTGCAGACTGGCTCTTACTTTCGGCAAGTAGCGTCGACTCGCCCAGACTGCAAATCGGGGCAGAAATTTTTACAAAAGTCATGTAATGTATTATAGCCTTAACTTACTTCAAACTAAATTCAACTAACTCCTGTTTGGGGACCGATACAGATTTTCTTATGCAATTTGGATTAAATTTGATTAAATGTCCATTTTACTTACATACAAAAGAAATTCTCTCTCCGCAAATGCTGTAAATTACACACGGTGACGGTAGTGTTCAAACTGGTACCTTGTTGTCTTTTTAAAATATTCATTATAATAAAAACTGCAACAAATAAGAGTCATTTGTTTTAGGATAAACTGGTCACACTGTATGTTTTTAGTTCACTAAAAATAATTGATTTGTACTTGCATAGATAAAATTTTATCTTATTTAAGTACCATAAAAAGGATTTACCTAACAAAAATTAACGTGGATGTAGGCCTGGGCGATAAAATGGTATCGATAATTATCGACGGTACACGATAATTCTTCGTTTACTTCAACGTTGTTCTTCGATAACGATATAAAAAATGTTCGATATAGCGCACGATATAGGCACGTGCTATGAGTGATGAGCAGACAGCACACACAAACACAAACACATGCTGAATTGAGTGCTGTGCCTGCGTGATGAGGAGATTGTGAATAAAGAATGAATATTAGTCGAATTTAAAAGAAACATTTGCATTTGAATGTTAGGTGTGCATCAGGGAGCGTCATCAGATGCGGTGATAATGATGTAAGTGACATTGTTGCATTTTGATGTTTTGTTAGTCTAACCCACGAGCTGCGCCGCTGCTGTGTTATGCATTCAAAATATTAGAGAAATATAGAAGCTCAATGCGGAGAAGATCTTGATTAGTTGAAAACCGAAACCAGGCCATTCACACAGATGCATATTCAGCGCACTTTTTAGACGGACAAGACTGCTGCATTCGCGTCTCACACACGAGATGTAGCCATGCAAAGTTAAAACAGTTTAAACTTTCAGAAAAAATGTTGCAAATTTGTGGAGGTTTATTCCTTTTCACTGCGTCTCTTATGTTTTTAAATGCAATCTGCGTGATGGGTGATTCGGCTCTTTGGATTAAGCAATGAAATACATGATGCTGTTTTGTTCATAATTGTTTATGCAATTTACTAAATTATATTTGATTTATATGAGTTAATTTATACGTAATGCACGGTTTTTTATAGACAGTTATTTCTTTGCGTTGACAATTTAAATGTGCTGCATTATTTTGCTAATTGCGGCCGCCTGTGGCCTCGGGAGACAAGCCAAAAGATTCCTTGAGACCTATTTAATCTGCATATAAAACATTAGAAATTAGATATTTGTTTAATTTTTATTGTGTTTGACTGTTAAAACAAAAAAGTTGTTGATTGTCTCAATAAATTCGGTTAATTTAAAAATACTGTGGTTAAATTTGATTTTTTTTCTATTGCTCTTTGTTTTAAAAAAGGTTATAAAAAATGTCAATAATTATCGATACCGAACGATATGAAACATTATATCGTTGATACATTTTTTAGCTATATCGCCCAGCCCTACGTGGATGCTCAATTATTTTCTGCTACCCAGTTTAGCCCTTAATAACAACTCCAATCATTGGCTGAGTAAAGTGTTCCCCTTCTTCTTTCCTTTTTATTCCTCTCCAGGAGAGAAGGAAGCCAGAAGAGGGCTGTGAAAAGTTTGTCTTGCTATTTGGCAGAAAGTCCTCAGACAACAAGCTCTCACTCTCTCTTTCTAAAAACACTGGGTGGCAGAGCCTTGTTGCACTGGCGTTAATCAGAGTTCTCCTGCTCATGTCCATATGATATTCTCACAACACAACTTTGTGTTATTTTCCCTCATATATCCCCCACTAATACTTTGCTATTTTTTTCTGCTAGTCTTGCATTTCAGTTTCTATTTAGAAAACACAACAAATAGCTATCTTTAGAGTGGAAATCTTTTCTGTAATTCTGTGTATTCACAAAATCTGGTAAAGACTACAAAACAAACCAGCGGAGACACATGGATTAGCCAAATATTCTGGGTTTCCCTGAACACAAAACAACACGCTTTTTTTCAGAGGGAAAACCACAGTCATCGTTTCCACATACCCAGTGTGCATTCTGTTCTTGGTCTTCACCTGACACCAGAAAGCACACTTCTGTGGATCTGGAGAGTCTGTCTAAAAATAAGCGACTGGAAGGCCTGACCTCAACGTGGTGCTGCTGTACAATGCAAGCATTCAGCTGAACGCACGCCTCTTCATTCCTGTCCACACCTTCTTTCTTAATCTCACCCGTGTAAAGACATGCATATGTGACAAGGGTAACACTTTACATGGAACATATTGACAAATTTGACACATTATGGGAAAATATTTTCTATGAAGGGGAAACAGAAGAGCAGAACAGGCTCCTTTTAGTAAATCAAAACCAGCCCATGAATGTAGTCTGATTGCTGTACAAATTACTTAGGAACCAGTTCTTTTTAGTGAATCAAAACTAGGGCTGTGCGATTAATCGTCATAAAATCGCGATTTGAGCATGCGCGGTTTCTAAATCGCTTTACAGCACGATTTTCCGCGCCCCCTACCTCCCGCAGTATGCTATCAGAATACTTAGTAATTATTTTGCCTTATGTCTGTTCTAGAGACATGTTACAGCTTTTTGATAAAGCTCTAATTGGTTTTCTTTTGGAAATATGTTTCAAATTCACATTGAATGCATTTATGACTGCAAAGCATGTCTGTGTGTGTCAAAATCGTGATTAAAATCGAAAACGCTAAATTGATCAAAGAAATCGTGACATATTGAACACAGAGCACAGCAGCTGCCTGGTCTTTTTAATGAATGACTGATGTTTTCCTGGGTATTTGTCGGAGAACTTTCTGTTTTCTGTCATCCCCTGCCTCTTGTTTTCGCCGTGACTCACTCGCTCTTCACCCCAAAGGACACTGCTACTGATCTGTAAACCACAGAAAGACATTTCTTCCTGGATGGCCGCTTCAAATCGCCAGAGGACCATCGTGAAACAATTATAATTGTTGTTTACAAGGGGGACATTGACTGTGAGAACAGTCCCCTGAGGAGGACGAGGAAACGAGATGCAGAAACCTGGCCTGAGGCCTGATTCTGTGTGCTGAAATAATGCTTTTATTAAAACACTTCAGAATTGCACATTTTAAAGGATGACAGGGTTAGGCTGGCAATTAGGAAACAGAGGTGAAGGGCATGCTGGTGTCTGCAAGAACTATCAACTTCAGTGAGGTTATTTTATCGTAAAGGCTTGAAGATCTAATAAATGCATGCAAACATAAAAATCACACACACATGCATGAGTGGGACTATTCACACCATTATGCAATGAGAGCCTTTCCTATCGGTGTCTCATCAGCCCCCACATCTCCACATGTCCACTGAGACATGTCCCTCTTACACCTCTTACTTTTCTTACAGCACTATGGTTTTGGGCCACTGGATTTCATTCCTCTCCTTGGCAGTGTCCTTCAAAAATATAATGTTTCTAAGCAGCAAGTCAAAAAAAAATAAAAAGTCAGGCGGGATCTTATGAGACAGCATCGCTTTCTTGGCAAGATAATTTGCATACTGTTACGCTAATGGTAACCTGCATGGCCTACGAGGGCTTTCTTCATTAGATGAATGGCCGCTCTATTGATTTCATTCATCTGGCTTGATTCACTGTTTAAGAGGAAAAAAAGTGCAAATCATCTCAAGCTAAAATGTAAATTGATTTGCAGATAACTGGTTGCATATTAAAGTAGGAAATCATCTGGCATTTCATCAGGTTAAAAATCTACACTTTTACTACAACGCCACCTGGTTATATCAAGCTGTGCTAACTGTTAAAAATAAGCGAGGTGGCTTTCAAACTTATTCACGCTGATCTTCAAGTCAGTATGAGGACAAAAGAACCTGGAGCTTACTGGACTGTGCCCAGCTGGTGTCTATCTATCTTCGTCCGCCCTCTGTTATCTCACTATTGCACAAAGAGAATCTTCCTGGCATTTGACTGGAC